GAGGAAGCCCCGCCAAGGCCCTCCCTGGCCCCAGGCAGGCAGGGGTGGGGAGAGGCGGGGAGGAAGCAACTTACCCTCCCTCTTCTCCTGCCTCCTTCTGGCTGAATGAGGGCTGGAAGCGGGGCAGCCAGAAGCAGGGGGCGGGGCTTCGTCATGTGCCCCGCCCCCTGCACCTCACCTCGGGGAACTGCGTTCCCCCGCGTTCCCCCCCGAAATGACCTCTGCTAGTACCTGAGGGCAGAACCACCCATGTGGTCTACAGAGAGGTCCTTCGGTAGATGGGGGGGGAGTCCAGTATGTATGTCTCACTTCATTTTTTACACTACAATCTTCTCCATTAGAATTCCTACAACAAATGTTACATCATCAGTATTATAACTGGATTTACGGAATTTAAATACCGTAGCGAAGCAGGGGTATCAGGCTAGTCTATAATAAAAGGAGCCACATGTCCATCCATCGGCCCATTTGTGGCAGGCATAACTCATCAGAAAATAAAACTAGGAATCTCAAGATTGGACACCCGCTTCAGGATGATCTTGGGAGTTCAAAATCCAAAAATGAAAGGTTTGGAATATCATGGCTCAGGTTATCTCCAGACACCCCCCCCCCACCCCACCCCCCCACACACACTATTTGCAATGGAAGCTAAAGTGTCGGAATAGGATCTGGGAAACTCATGTTCAAACCAACCCTGCCACCTTGCTGGGTGACCTTGGGCCCATCACGCACTCTCAGCCTAACCTACCTCACAGGGTTGTTGTGAGGATAAAATGGAGGAGAGGAGAACAATGTAAGGCACTTTGGAGAGAGAGAAATTGGAAGTGGGGACAGACAAATGGCAGATCATGAAAGGAAGAGAACAAAATGAAGGAGGAGAGAAGTGTGGAGAAGAGAGAACCGTAGGAAAATTGTTTTTGCTATCACAGACTAACAAGGTTGCCACTCTGGCCCATAGCTATGGTGGGGCATTTCAGGGCCACGAACCCTTAATCACATGCTCCACCCCACAAAACACTTTCTTTAAACCCATAATAATGTTTTTTAAAGTTTAAATGTAGCTGCACTGCCACACTGTAGCACCCAAGCCTGCCTTCTCATCCAGGCTCCAGCCGGCCGGTCCGCTGTGTTCTCCAGTGAAGGAGGGAAGGGGGGGGGGGAGGAGAGAGAAGCAAGGCATCCCTTGCCAGTCTGGGCTGCCTGCAGGTGAGGGGCCATGGCCGGGTGCTTCTTCACCTCTTCTTTGTGTCACCTGGGGGGAGGGGGGAGTGCGCGCTCACATGCCAGGCCAGGCTTTGTTGTGGTTGCTTTTGGGGTGGGTGGCACATGATCCTGCCCACCCGCCCAACTGTCCCTCAGCCCTATGGTGCTCTGTGCCCAAAACAGCAGCAGCAGGCTGCAGGGGATCAGAGCACCGCTTCTTCCTCCTCTGCTCCTTCCTCGTATTCCCCCCCCCCTTGTGGGGTTCAAGGCAGCAGCTCAGAGAAAAACAGGTTTTGCTTTCCATAAACTGGGGCGGAGGGGCCTTTTTTGCTGTTCAGTCCCAGCTCTTCCTCACCCCAGCTTCACCTCACACTACCCCACTTGTGTTTCTACTCGGTCTACTCAGAAGTAAGTAAGGGTTCTTTTTAAAATTATCCCCCCCCCCGAAAAAAAATTAAATGCCCCCCCAATGAATCACGGCTATGGGCCTGTTGCCACTTTGCAAGATTTGGTTGTGCTCGGTAAAGGAAAAAGCAAACCACAGACAGGTGGAGATGATGACCTTGTTAGGAGGCTGCATCCGGGCAAGGATCATAGCTTGTCCTGGACTTGCCTTGCTCCAATGCTGTCTTGGCTGTTTGGTTTAGCTGGATCTGATTAGCAAACAATTTTCCTCAAGCTCCTTGTAAACTTTGCTAAAAGGCCCAGCCAGAGAGCTCTGAGTGGTTTTTACTGTGCTGCGCCTTCCCTGAGCCCCTAGTGCATTAGAAAAAAAAAATTAATGCATTATGACCTTCCAGCTAACCCGCCCCCACCCCCCCGCTTTTTCGCCCGCCACTTTATATCCTATTTATTTATTTATTTATTTACTTCATATCCTATTTATTTATTTACTTCATATCTCTCAGCAGCGCTGCTTCCACACAGCTATCAAACTGCAGTAATCTAGGGAGGAGTGGTATAATCATGTTCCAATAGTCCTTTCCCAGTCCTTGGTATGCTTTTTACCAAGCACAACTTTCTCCAATCTTTTCCAAAGGAGGGCAGTGGTGGAGGAGTGGAAATGGGTAACTGAGGCAAGCGAAAAGTGGGGGAATCTGCTGTGTGGACATTTCACTGCAGCTGTGAATGCCTCAGCAGTTATGAGAACTACATGAATGGAAGAAGCCTTAGTCTTCACAGTTGGCAAATGCCACCATTTATAAAGCTATGCCTCATGTTGGAGTCATCGTTCAGTGCTGTTATGCATGTAGAAGGTCTTGTGTACAATTCCTGGCCTTGAAACTCCACTGACAGTCAGAGTGGATAATACTCAGCAAGCTGGCCAGTGGTCTCACTTGGAAGAAGGCAGTTCTATATGTGCATATGAAAGGGACATCAGATTTAAAAAATTGCTGTAGCTGGACTGGTATAGCAAGTATTATTTTGCCATTTTGACTTTCGGGTGAAAATCCGTGTGAAATATGCTGCTAATTTGCATCTGAATGGAATACATTTGAAGAAAAGTTTTCAACTTCTATTGTTCTTGTTTTCTTTCCCCCCCCACCAAAGTCTTAGCTCCGTTGACTTTCATGCTTTTTGTCCAGGGGGCTATAATCCGTTACACAGTTCACAGGAAAAAGTGGATGGTAAGTAATTTGCAAACTAATCGTTGCCATTCTTTCTCTTCTGGATAAGTTATTAGGGGAATAATGGATGAGACATCTGAGCATGAATTTACTGTGTCATCAGTGCCCACCAATAGCCACTAGTGATGCACTGGGGGGTGGGGGGTGGAATTCTCTCCAAACACAAAACATTTGTGTATGGATCAAACGTGGAGAGAAAATAAATTGGGAATGCATCCTACCACTTCACACAGCAAAGTCTGCAGCTTTCCTCCATTTTAAGCTTTTCAGAAGAGCCATGTAAATTGGAGAAAGTCTCCTTAAATCAGAGGAAGAAGTCATTCAGTCCTTGCTGAGAGGAGTGGTAGCATGGAGTGCTGTAGTAGCTGGAGCGTTGCCCAATAGTTAGTGAAGATTTTAGGGTACAGGAGGATATGGATACAAAACATTTTTAAAAATATCATACACACTCCAGTTTAACTCAGCTGCTTTCTTTAGAGAAATGCTAAATCCCTAGAATTGGCAAGTCATCAGAATTAGGAGTTTCCATGGTCATGCTTAAGTAAGCAAGAATGCCCATGTTTAGCACAAAGCATTCCTAGATGCCTAAGAGATATGTACATTGTGGTCTGGGAGGGCAAATTCTTAATACAGCCCTGAATGCAGCAGATGCATACTGTGTTCCCAGAACTCTGAACTTGTGGCTGCCACATTCTACAGCAGTAGGTTCTTCCCAAAAGTCATCAAGGACCCGATTTTTTTTTTGTATTATTACTATCATTCTGTACTAGGACAAGTTTACCCAATTAATGTTGTAGGTTTGGGAGCAGACATCTGTGCAATCTGATCTTTTTTATTTGCTTTCTCTGAGGGTCGGTAGGAACATATTCTTTCCTCCACCCCATTCCACACACACCTTTTGAGGTGTAATTAGAGATCTCATTGGATTCCATTCAGGTTCGATTTGAAAGTCCAAGTTTCGTGTATAGTTTTGCCACACTCAGCTCTTTGTCCTTTTTCCTGACCATATTAATGACATGTGATAGGAATGTTGCCATTAAAACTAATCTTTTTTCATGTAAATCCCATATAAATAACATCTAACATAAAAATGGCATAAAAGGTTTTTAAAGGCAACAAAAACGTGAATTTTTTCAAAGAAAATAGGTAAAATAAAAATGGTTTTCCTAACAGTGCACAAAATTAAAAGGTAAAACAAACAAACAGAAACCCTTAGTCCTAAATCCTATAATTTTCACTTCATGTTGTTCAATAAATATGGACTTCACTGTACCACCATCTACTGGGAGAAAACAAGCATTACTTCTCATAGAGCTCCATTTGATTGAACAAACTGCACTCTACCTGTAATGTCTTTCAGTTTTCATTCTTTAACTAAGGTGAATTGTGCTAATAAAGTAGTCAAACAATTTGAATACAACAGTCTACAGAAACACAGTATTGACTCATGTCATGATTAGATGATTAAATCCTTTGGGTGATATTTTTGCTCCTAAGACTTGAGTGTCTCTGAGTCTCAACTGGCAGAGCATTTTAACTGTTACTTGTCTCCATAGGATGTCAGGGAACTGTAACTTAAGAAGGAAATAGAAGAATACATAAAATATGTATTTCCATTCATTCTGTCACTAGAATTACTTTTTTCACTGGGTTAGTATAAAACATAAAGGCCAGTCTGTCTGTCTGTCCATATATATTGGATTCATTGTGGTGATTTAGGGTTGGGAAAAATAAAATTATGGTTATCATGATTTCCACGGTATGTTTAGAAGGCTCATAATCCCACAATCTTGCTAAAGCTGATAAATGAAGGGTGGGGCATAAATCTAATCTTCTCCTCTTCCTCTTCTTTTATTAAAATAATGGACACTAATCTTTATGGAATTGAACAACTATCCTGAGGAGTTGTGCTAGGAATTCCTGTTATTTTGAAGTGGGACATTGATTTCTACAGAAAATCCATCTGAAGCATAAGATTGAGGCTTCTCCCATCTGAAAGGCAACTAGTTTCCTTCATGCCATCATGATGGTCATCAATACAGCAGTCAATTGCTTATCTCGGCCAGTGCACAAAGCATGAAAAATCAGAGAGATGGCCTAGTTCATGATGACTCTTGGGTCTACTAATACCGTGTGTAGACTGAATCCACTGGAGACGACTACATGCATGACAATTACATCAACTCTTAAGGCCTTTCCATTTTTAAGTCATGAGAAAGGAGGGCCTATCCATTTTGGGTATCTGCTATGGTGGACAAAGATGTCCAGCTTACATCTTGTCACCCCTGGCAGGATAGGTTGGGTATCTGTGGACCAGCAGAACTAGGAATTGTGAACTACTACAGGTAGCATATACTTAGGTGCTGTATCACTCAGTACTGCCAGTGGTCTGAGGCTTGCGAAGACCACTGGGAGCAGTGATGATAGGGCAAGGGATTTCAGTGCTCCTGGGGCGGGGAAAGTACAGTGGTGGGACTAGGGAAGGAGATAAAGGAAGGGGACAGAGAAGCAGAGTTGTTCAGCCCCCTTCCAACCTATGTCCCATCCCAAGGGTTGCCAGCAGTAAGGCTAGGACAAATTGGTGTTGTGTAACACCAGGTAACGTCCTCCAACATTGGTGTTGTGTAACGCCAGGTCTATCAATAATAAGAGCATGGTCCTTCGGGACTTTCTGCTGGAGCAGAATGTAGACCTGATGTGCATGACCGAGACCTGGGTGCAAGAAGGGGAGACAGTAGCTCTCTCCCAGTTGGCTCCTCCCAGGTTCTTGGTCCTTCACCAATCATGGACTAGGGGGTAGGGGAGGAATGGCTCTATTCATTTGGGAGGCTTACTCCTTCAGAGTGCTTCTGCCTCCGAAGATCATGGGCATAAAGTGTGCCGCCTACTGTGGGAAGCTGGGGAGAGTTTGGTGATTTGGCTGGTGTACCGACCGCCTAACGTACATGCCAATAGCCTGCAGTCCCCGATGGAGGCCATGTCAGGCTAGGTGTTGGAACATTCTAGACTGATAGTCTTGGGTGATTTCAATGTCCACATTGATGCTGCGGCCTCCACTCAGGTGACGGACCTGGTATCATCTATGGCGGCGCTAGGACTTTCCCAATATGTAATGACTCCCACTCACCAGACTGGACACATGCTTGATTTGAGCTTCGCGGCGGGGGTTACACTGGACCGGATCACTGCCTTGGCAGTGCCATCGTCAGATCACTTTGCTCTGAGGGCCCATTTGAATGTTTCACCCTGACCCAGTTTAGGCAGCGAGCATATTTTAGGTTGCCTGCAGAGCCAGATGGGCCCAGTGTGGCTTCAGATGGCCCTGCGGGATCTGATGCCCCCTGGTGGCTCATTAGATGTGCTTGTGGAAGATTGGCATAGCCAACTCCCTGCAGCTATTGAAAAGATCACTCCCTGATGCCCTTTGCACCCTCACACTAGGCTGGCACCCTGGTATACTCAGGAGTTGCAGCTGATGAAGCAAGAGCTAAGATGGCTAGAGAGGCAGTGGCGGCATACCTGCAATGAAGCTACAAGGACATCTTATAGGACTTTTATGAGATCCTATGAGATGGCAGTCAAAGCTGTGATTGCGTCTGCGAGCTCATGCCCAGCCCAATTATTTAGAACGATTTGGTCTCTGATGACTTTGCCCCAAGGCAGGTCAAACAATAGGGAATTGGACATTGGCTGTGAGACTTTTGTGAGCTGTTTCGCAGATAAAGGCTTGTCACTCCACCGTGACCTCCCTTCCACAATTGAGACAGTGAGCAAACCCGAGGCCCCATGCACATCTTCTTATCAGGTTTTGGATTATTTCAGTCCACTCAGTCTAGAGGAGGTTGACAAACTGCTCTTAACCATGTGCTCTACCACGTGCCTTCTCGATCTGTGCCCATCATGGCTCATTAAAGTGGGTCATGATGGGTTTCAAGGTGCCCTGAGGGAGATTATTAACAAGTCCCTCTCAGAGGGCTTGTTCCCTTGGACACTTAAGGATGCCACGGCTCATTCCCTCTTGGAAAAAAAATCATTGGATCTGGCCAAATTGGCTTATATGAGCAAGTTAATACAGAGGGCTGTGGCAGTCTAGTTAAAGAGCTTTTTGGACGATGCCTCCATCTTAGATCCATTCCAGTCTGGCTTTCACCCGGGAAACAGGATGGAGACAGCACTGGTTGCCCTCTCAGACTACCTCTGGAGGCATCTGGATCAAGGCAGATTGGTGGTGCTGTTGTTGTTGGACCTGTCATCAGTGTTCAAAACAGTTGATCATCAGCTACTGATCCACCGCCTCACCAACACTGGAGTTCAAGGACTTGCCTTACAATGGCTCTCATCCTTCCTTCGGGGTCAGGGACAAAGGGTGGCACTAAGGGAACAGCTGTCCTGAAGGCATCCACTGACTTGTGAAGTGCTCCAAGAGGTGGTACTTAACCCCAATGTTATTTAACATCTATATGCACCCCCTTGCCCAGATTGCCTGAAAGCACGGACTTTGGTGTCACCAGTATGCAGACAACACCCAGCTATATCTGTTGTTGGGTGGCCAATCTGACTCTATGCCAGAAGATCTGGACTGGGCGTTACAAGCTGTGGCTGATTGGCTTAGACTGGGTGAATTGAAATTGAATCCGACGAAGACGGAGGTCCTGTACCTGAGTCGGGGCGGAACAGGGGTAGGGATCCCACTCCTGACCTTCGATGGGACACAGTTAGTGCAAGTGCTGGAGGTTAGGAGCTTCGGAGTGCTCTTGAATGCCTCCTTAACAATGGAGGCCCAGGTAGCAGCCACTGCCAAGTCAGCCTTCTATCATCTTCGGCTGATTAGGCAGTTGGTACCCTTCCTTGAACGCAACAACTTGGCAACAATGATCCATGTGATGGTCACCTTGAGACTGGACTACTGTAACGCTCTCTACATTGGGCTGCCGTTGTCTCAAATCCGAAAGCTGCAGCTAGTGCAGAATGCGGTGGCCAGGCTGTTGATGAGTATCCCCATGCAGGAGCACATCCAGCCTGCACTGAAAGCACTGCACTGGCTGCCATAGCATACTGGATTCATTTCAAGGTGCTGGTTTTAAGCTTTAAAGCCCTATATGGTCAGGGTCCAGCATACCTAAGGGACCGCTTTTCCCCACATTTTCCCTGGAGAGCACTGTGTTTAGGGACCCAAAATTAGTTGACCCTCCCAGGCTCCAAGGATGCCAGGCTGGCTATAACCAGGGCCAGGGCCTTCTTGGTGGCAGCGCCATACTGGTGGAATGAGCTCCCAGAAGAGATCAGGGCCCTGCAGGACCTTTTTACAGTTCCACAGGGCCTCTCCCACCAGGATTTTTGTTAAGTATGCAACTCAACAATGAAGTAAGTAACAAGTGATTCAGCTTTATTGAGAAAGAGAACTTCCAAAAGATCACACAACATCAGACGACACAACAACACAAACAGTGGAGCATAGCTCCTTTTAAACTCTCCCGGGCTGGGGTAGCCACGCCCTGTCATAGTTAACATCCAATCATCATTCATAGATAACATCCAATAAATACAGTTCCCTCCAGCACAGTTCTCTTACATTTTATTGGTTACCACAATGCTTCAGCCAATGGTATTGTTACAGATTAGAATCCTGGCTGAGGTTTCAAGCTTAACATGTACCGTATTTTCCTGCGTATAAGACTACTTTTTAACCCAGGGAAATCTTCTCAGAAGTGGGGGGTCGTCTTATACGCCAGTACGCCAGAAGCATCAGCACAGCTCTATATTTTAACTGGAAAACTCTATATTTTAACTGGAAAAGTTGGGGGTCGTCTTATACGCCCAGTCGTCTTATACGCCAGAAAATACGGTAGTTAGATATGAAGACACAACACTTTTGACTCGGGAGCTGCATTACACACTGAGGGGAGTGTCCCTGTGCCCTGGTTTCACCACCTTCCATCTTCAGCCTGTGTCCACCGCACATTAAGTTGAGTAAACTGAGATGGCGTGAACACCATCATGAATATACTGTCACCTTAAGTCATGTTTTGAATGTAATCTTCTGCTCTCACTTTTATTAGACCTTGTTCCAGTGTTTTAGGAGTCTTTTAATCGAATGTAATGTTATTTTACATTTATGTTTGTTTATGATGGTTTTAATTGTATTTATATGAATTTTTATGTAGGCCGCCCTGAGCCCACCTTGGTGGGGAGGGCGGGGTTTAAATGGAATTGAATAAATAAATAAATTATAAATAAATGGTTCTTTGTAGCATGATAACAGTCCTCAGAAATGTCCAAGCATGCATTGATTGCTCCCTGTCATATTACACAGTGGGCTTTGTAGTCTCTGTAGTAGCACAACAAAAAGTTTGTACTGAAAATGACAAAGAAAATTGCAGCACATCTCCACACACACACACCCCCCGCACCACCTTAATACTGTCCTCTTTGGCAGGAGCTGGCTTGCATTGTGATCTACAATATCCGTGTCTGTCTCATGTATGTTCCTTTAATGGGATTTAAGAGCTTCATGGCGTTCTACTGGCTGTCCAGGTAATATTAATTGTGCAAAATTTCCTTCTGGTTGTTGCTGCTCCCCAGCTCTAAACTTTAATTACTCTAAACTGGATTTGGATCCAGCAGCTTTTAAATAGCAATTAACAGTGCAATCCTCTTTCCTGGGAGAAACCCAGGACAGCCAACTGAATAGACCTCAGTAAAATTCTGTGCAGATTTTAGGCTTGCTCTATAAATGTAGTGGCCCTAACCTGTTTCGAAACTCTTAGAGAAGCCAGCCATAGACAACCATTTTCTATCTACCGGTATCACTGATTTAACAATGAATGATCAGTTGTACATTTGAAAAATATCTGCACGTCCATGCTATGGAATCTGCATCAGAATAAGTGCTAGTGCAATTGCAGGGCCTTTTTACCTATGTGGGGTGTAGACATTTTGCTTCATAGTGTTACAGATTTTAGAGGAAGGATGCCCTTATTGAAGATTTCTGCCTTACATTGGAATCAAGGATGATTCCACACAAACTTTACGACTTTTCTAGTTAATGACATCCTCCACGAAAATATCTATGATGGATTTAGTGACCTGGAGAGAAAGCTGAGAGACCAAACACACACAAATAAAAGTTCAGAAGATAAAATGAGAAAGTAATAAGTATTTAAACATGCAGAACCGAGTCTCAGGAGATCACATTGACCTACTAGAAAGCAAACTCCCTGTTTCATTATCTCTACAGTCTGTCCAAAAATTGACAGTATAAGTGCATACAAAATTGAGGAACAAAACTCTCCAGAATCACAGAATTAGAATGGAGGTAAAGCTTACAGTTATCATGAACGAAATCATCCTGTATCATATTAACTAGAAATTAGTGAATCCTCAGCTAAAGTAAGAAATGTGCTGGTAATTAAGAGGTTAAAAGGTAAAGGTTCCCTTGCTCAAAAGCCAGTCGAGTCCGACTCTAGGGTTGCGGTGCTCATCTCCGTTTCAAAGCCGAAGAGCCAGCGCTGTCCGAAGACGTTTCCGTGGTCATGTGGCCGGCATGACTAACCACCAAGGCGCACGGAACGCTGTTACCTGCCCACCGAAGTGGTACCTATTTATCTACTTGCAATTTCTTGCTTTCGAACTGCTAGGTTGGCAGGAGCTGGAACTAGAGACGGGAGCTCACTCCGTCATGCGGCAAGCCGGGTCTCGAACTGCTGAACTACTGACTTTCCACAGCCTGCAGTTCAGCATCTTAACCACTTGAGCCACCGCAGCTCCTCAATTAAGAGGTAGACATTTGCAAATGTGGAAAAAAAAATAGGATTTCTAGCTTTTAATTATGGCACATGTGTGATCCATTCCTGATACACATGTGAATTCTTACAGTACCACTTTAAAATGTAATGTGTGATAGATGAAGAAAACACATGATTAGCTGTTCTTGGTTCATGTGTTGTTGCTGGTTCATTATTTATTTTTAATACATTCGTTTATTCGACAAACTTTTAATTGGTAATATGCTTTATTGTTCCCAATGAACACATTGTTTTTCCTAAATGATTTATCCTAAATAAATGGTTTTTCTTAAATAAAATCTCTGCTGTGAAAGAGATTATCTGGTTTACTGAATCATTTAGAAAGGTGTTACCGAGTTTATGGCAACTGTCCAATAAATTACAAATAAGCCCTAGTTTGGGCAGGTAGGAGTAATATTACTGTTTTAATTGGCGGCACCATTTTGAAAGTGTCTTCAGTGGTGGTGATTATTATCTTTTTGTCTCCACAGGTTCCTAGAAAGCAATTGGTTTCTCTGGGTTTCACAGATGAACCACATTCCAATGAACATTGATTATGACAAGAATCTAGACTGGGTCTCTGCCCAGGTGAGAAATTCTAGCCCGAGGCATTTCCTTTATTCCTTTTGATGACCTTATTCATAAAGGGGTATGGGCACATCATCAAGTGATATTGCTATTGGGCAATGAATTGCTATTGGAAAGATGAATGTGAACTGGGCTGTCCATGCCATAGGCCAGCAATCATGATCACAGCTATTGGAAGAATTTCAGCCATTTTATATACAATATACCAATATACACTGACCCACAGAGTGAGGAACAATGAAGGTTCCCATGGCCAATTTGCAGCTGAACATTTTGCATTCATGACCAGGATCTTTGCATGAACCAGGAAAGCTGTGGTTTCTTTCTTTTTAGAATTTTTTATTGCTTTTCACTATAAACTACAAACTAAAAAAACTACAAATTCAGAGTAGCAAGGTACATTAATAACCTATCTTGCGCTTTGTATGCTTCCCTACAAATTTATGTTTACAATATATCATTTAATTTCTAAGTAATAAGTATTCAACTAGAAAGTACAAAAGTTTCTTGATTATTGTATCGCATATGGACAATAATATAAATTCTTTAAAATTTAACATAGAACAATCTTAGATCTTCATTTGGATGTCTTCTTGTCTTTGCGCTTCTTCTTTTGCCAGGGGATATTAACCTTGTAAGATCTGGAGGCAGCAGTTCCCAGGTCAGAATCAAAGTCAGAGTCAAAGATTTCACCCAGGGACACAGAAGTAGAAGAGGAGCTGTCAGTGGCTGACACCTGATGTTCGCTGTTGTTTTCTGTCGCCTTCTCTTCCTCTGCTTCCTTTCTTTGTTTTTTCAGAGTTTGATGCTGCTTCAGGAATAATTCTGCTTTAGAGAGAGAGTCAATCTTTTCCTTCTTCTCTTTGTAGTTGAATATAAGACCTTCTGGTAAAATCCATCTGTATTGGACATTGTTCTTTTGAAGAAATGTTGTAATGTTTCTATATTGCGTCCTCTCCTTACGTACTTCAAATGGAACATCTTTCAGTATTTTTATCTCTTCCTCTTGAATTTTTAATGTTGTGGCAGTAGAAGCTTTAAGTATCAAGTCTCTTGTTGACCTTTTTGCGAATTTAACAAATATTTTCCCTGGAAGATTATTTTTTTTCACAAAGTCTGAGTAGGTTCTATAGATCATGTATTTGCTTGCAATATTTCAGGTCTGCTGTTGATCAAGAGGGCCAATGCTTCACTTAAGATTTCTCTTAAATTTTCATCTTTTTTTCTGGTACCCCTTGGAATCTTAGAACATATAGGGCTCTTTCCACTTGTAGTTGTAATAATTGTTGTTTTTCAGAAGCTCTTTCTTTATCTGCAATGTCCATTCTTTGATCCATTTCTTTGGTCTTAGTTTCAACCTTTTTTAGCTTTTGGGATGTTTTCTCTGATTTAACTTTGGTCTCCTTCAGCTCCTTCTGCAAATCATCAAATTTCTTATTGAGATTCGTCTGCTGATCCAGCAGGGGGCGCAAGGTTTCAGAAATCGTACCAGCTAAATCGATGGTAGTTTCCGGTCTTGTGACCAGTGATGCTGTGCTGGCATTTCCTGTGGTGCCTCTGCGCGCCATTTTCCCTCCTTTCTACATCATTGTTTATGTTAAGGTAAAAGTTTTTAATAGTTCTAGGGTCTTTCTCTGCAATGAATATCAGGTCCCGCTGCAATCCGTTTGGGCTGGGTGGATTTCTAACAGCTTAATATCCGCTTGGTTCCTGTTTAGCTGCTTTCTATGCTGTAGGGTAGGGTTCTTCCTCCCGAGAGTCCCCCCCCTTTTCTCTATGGAATTTTGCCGTCTCACTGTCAGTTTATCCACTCTCTGCATTTGTCTTTCTTTTGAAACTTCTTCACTCACTTTTTAAATCACTGGATGTCTTCCCGTAGGGACAGTCCTTTTTGTTAAGTCCTTGCGCGCTCTGGTTCGGTAATGTCTCTGGTCACCATTGCTGGCTTTGGAGTAGCAGGACCTTGAAGAGCAAAAAAGAGCCCCAAACCCCAAGCCGTGGCTTCGGAAGTGGCTCCTTCAGCGCTCCAGACTAGAAGCTCCCTACAAGAGCTTCAGGGGGGAATCGAAAGCATCCAAACCCCCTGCCTGCCGCCTCAATCCAAATCGCACCATCGGAGCTCGATGGAATGCATTCATTCACGAGTCACCAAAACCAGAAGCTGTGGTTTCTGAGCAGCTCGGCCAAAGAGATCAAACTGGAGAATGCAACATTGCTTTTTCATGTTGTGATCTAGAGGACTATCCAGAGAGACATACTAAAGGTGTTTGTTTTTGTTTTTTAAAATTAATTTTCAAAAATGTCTTTTGTTTTCATTTCATTCAATATTTTATTTTTTTCTCAGCAGTAGTTATTTATTATATAGTTGAATGTTATTTCTAGGCTGCATGGCAGCCATCAAGTTTCTGGGGGCACTGAACAACAAATACAAAGTCTAACAATGCAAGTACAATATTGGCCAATGGTATACATAATCAATTACAAATGCAACAAATGACCATCAAGTCTAGGCTGATTTTGCAAGAATCCTAGAAGTCACAGCTGAGACACATCATACATACACAGCCTTATCCATCCAGGACTTAGTGATAAATACCAAGTCAGCTCGCTGTTTTCCCATAGGCTGATCTTAATGCAGTGACATCACATTTACATTAGGGATGCCATGAATTTATCAGCAAATATGTTCAGCACCTGAACTTTGTTGTGTGATGCTCACTATCATTTCATAAACCTATCAGGGATATGTTCAGGTTGCATCCAGAAACTTGAATAGATGGTGAAAAAGGCTGCAGATGCCTGTTGATCAGAAGCTGAATGAAAACTGATTGGGGGTCAGCTGGGAGTCAGGTTCTTATTCTGTCCCCATCGCAAAAGGGCTACATGGTAAGTTGTAAAAGGGAAAGGAGAAAGAGCTCTTTTCTGTGTCCTCCTCTCCAAGCTGGCTGGGGACAGAAGCAATACTTCTGAGCTCCCCATTGCAAAAGAGAGAGGAGAAAGAGTTTGCTTCTCTCTTTTTCTCTGCAGCTCAAGCTGACAGCCTGAGGTAGGGACACCAGAGAGGAAATCAGCTGGGCTTCTGATCAATTTCCCCATGTTTACTGCATCTCACCAATTCTGGAATGCAGCAACTTTTCCAGGATGGAAGATCAGAAGTGTTGGAAATGTGTGGGTTGCAAGGTCCAGATTCCAGCCATTACAGGGTTAACTTGTTTACCTTCTATACCATTGTTTACACTGACCTGGAAGGAAACCTGGCAGACAGCCAATGTAAGAATAGCCCGCGAAAGTAAATGGTATTGATTGGTTAATGTATTCAGGTGATTTCCTTCTAGGGGTCAAGAAGGAGGAGGATTCTCCATTGTTGTGTGACCATGTGATTGTAGCAGTAGCATGTAACAATGTAGCTCTAGATAGCTCTTTTGTTTGTATGTTTCCTGTGTACCTTTTACCCTTAGAAATAAAGTTCTTTCTCAAAGAAAGAAATGTCTCCTCTCCAGTGAAGCAAAGATCCATTGCAAACTCTGAGTATTTAAGCATTTTTTTTAACTATTTTCCCCAACAAGAAGAACCCAGTTTCCAGCTGATGAGCTGAAAGTTGGCTCCTGATCCCCCCCCCCAAAAAAAACCCCCTTTGCTGGGTACAGAGCAAAATTTCCCCAGCAGACAATCAGAAACTGATTCTCAGCTGACCCTTCATAATCTGCAATTTGATGCTAATGGCTGCAAGTAGCCTGTTCCTGCAAATACACACAAAACACCCAAATTGCCCATAGATCAATTGGCTGCTTGGTCACCACTGGTCAATGGGAAGTGAGCTGAACTTTAAGTATCCCTAATTTATGGCACATTGACAGGGCTAAGAGGTGTGTTGCAATAATCCTAATGGTTAGAATACCCTCCAAACATGATCACCCATTCTGACCTTACAATCACCTCTTTATACACATGAATCACACTAGGCTAACACAGCAGCATCATATAGGTTGTGGAGCCTCAGTGCACTTACAGTCTTGGGAGAGGTGGGAATCACACACACTAATACAGCCTACAAAGATAGGGACAATTAATTAATTGCATTCCATGTCTCTATCAAAGCACTCAAGGCAGTTAACAATTTAAAATAATTGCTTATGATCGACGAGATATAATGGAGAAGGACGTGGAGCAATGGTTAGAAATGCAACTAAGCGGAGGCACTGTTGTTATAAAATATATTATGTTGGCAATAATGGAGGTCTTGTTTTTATTCGTTTAGCTTGTGGCAACATGCAATGTGGACCAATCCCTGTTCAACGACTGGTATACGGGGCACTTAAACTTCCAGATTGAGCATCAGTGAGTATGAGAAACAGAGGTCAAATCTGAATTTGCATTTTAAAATTAGTTTCGTGCTTCTGTGATGCCGTCTTTCTCTATGCTTGTTTGAAAGTTGCTTGGAGAAGATTCTTTCAAAGCAGTGCAGAGGCACAATTACAATGGAGCCGCCACGAGAGGGCGATAAACATATGTAGACAGGCAAAAGTATACTCGCACAGTTGAAGTGCGAAAATGAAAGCAAATGTAGACAGGTTTTTTTTAAGACAGTCAGAAGGCTGGGACACTGGTGGGAAAGACAAATGCAGATTTGACCAGAGAGAAAGATGTGGTATGGAATAAGGCACTTCTCTGAATGTGTCTGAGAGAGGCTTTCCATGAAATGTGGGATGATCTTTAGTAGAAATGTCTCTTTCAATGCTCTGTAATAACCCCTTCAATCCATCCTTTGCTCTCTCTCTCTCTCTCTGCAGCCTTTTCCCAACAATGCCTCGACACAATTACTGGAAAGTGGCTCCCCTGGTGAAATCCCTCTGTGCCAAACACGGTGTTCAGTACCACTGCAAACCCTTGCTCACTGCCTTTGCAGATATACTGCGGTAAGTATCAGCTAATTAAGCGGGAGGGAGGAGAAGGCTGAGTGTGAGAGGGTCAGAGTAGCACAGGAAAATCAGGAAAGCAGTAGCGGTGGGGCCTGGAAGAGTGTGATATTTACCAAGGAGACTCCTTTTCCCTGTCTCTTGGCAGCTCTCTGAAGGAATCATCGGAACACTGGGAGGATGCCTATCTCCATGGCTAAGAAGAGGCAGGGCCTCAGGAGGAAATCTCCTCATGCTGTCCGCTAACATCACAGAGCAAACAGATTTGGTGTGACAGGATGGTCAACTATGCAGTTAGGAATAGGTCAATCCAAAGGATAGCATAGGATTTCCCCTTTTGCACAGACATCTTGATTTGCTAGTCTCTTGAGCTTCATGCACATGGAGGCCAGGAGGTGGGCTTCTCCTGAGACAGAGAAGGAAATTTAGAACTGTAAAGCACAGCTTCTCAACTTGTCCCTTCCAGTTTATTGGGGAATAAAAGCAAAGCAGCTTTACTTCTGTTTTAAGGTCCTACTGTGTTCTGTACTGCAGGATCAGTGAGTCTAGGAGCAGGAAAGAAAAACAGAATGCAGATTGCTTTGCTTTTGGTTGACTTCTGCCAATAAAACCAGTTAAAATAAAGCGGAGGCAGAAGCAAAATGAGTAGGAGAAGCCTAAGCTATTGCGCAGCTTCTTAGGTCTAGACTCACCGTGGAGTTTCTTGATTTCATGTGGCCTATTTTTCATTTTAAAACATCACCATGTGTATTAGGTGTGTTGAGTTGTTAGCTTGTCCCCCTCAGATGTTCACCTCAAGAATTCCATAGTGATTTCATAATTAGAATGTTTGCATTAGGCTGTGGAGAACAAGGGTGTTCGTATTTGTTGGCCAGGGAGGAATGTCTGCCGTAGAACGGCCAGATCTGAGTCCAGTAGCACCTTAGAGACCAAACAAGATTTCAGGAGGGGGGAATATAACCTTTCAAGAGTCAAGGCTCCATTTCCAGATTTCTTTCTTTCTTTCTTTTTTTCAAAAACATTTTATTATCGGGTTATAACAACATGTCCAACATTATAACATTCCCTTATTTCCAATATAGCCCTTTTCCCTTCTTCCCTTCTTCCCTCCCTCCCCCGCTCCAGACTTCCCGCAGCGATCCCACCCCTACCAAATTTCTTATTGTTATCTAATCTTTCTACTAAACCACAGTTTAATAAGTAACTATTATGTTAACTATCTTTCTCTTATAATCTATCTTATAGGTAACATTTCTTTAACTACCATTAACTTCTGTTCAACTCTTTACTCATTCCATTCCTAATAATTATTAAAGCATAATAAATTGTTTCAAACATCCCAATATTTCTCTAGATATTCTTTAAAATCCATCCAATTTGCAAAGAATTCTTCGTCTTCTTTGTTGTTAAGTTTTCTTGTCAATTTGTCCATTTCTGCCATAAAAAGCATTTTTTTAATCCATTCCCAAACCTCCGGTACTCGATCTTGTTTCCAATATTGCGCATAAGTCATTCTTGCCGTTGTAATCAAATACCATAACAAAGTTCTCTTAGTTACATTCACTTCTTCCATCTTAAGACCCAAAAGAAGTATTTCTGGGGTTTTTTTTAAGTTACATTTCAAATTTTTTTGCATTTCATTATGGACCTCCGTCCAAAAAGTTACTGCTTTGTCGCAAGTCCACCACATATGGTAAAAAGTACCTTCTTTTTTCTTACATTTCCAACACTTATTTGACATATTATCATTCATATTAGCAATCTTTTTAGGCGTCATATACCATCTATACATCATTTTAAAACAATTTTCCTTTAAATTATTACATGTTGAAATTTTCATTTAATTTTTCCATAAACATTCCCAAGATTACATAGCTATTTCCTTATTCATATTAATTGCCCATTTTATCATTGCCGGATTTCAAGATATCTGATGAAGGGAGATTTCTGAAAGCTTATACTCCAGAAATCTTGTTGGTCTTTAAAGTGCTACTGGGCTTGAATCTAAAAGAGTGGAGACTATCTAGCCATCTGTGGGTCTATGGTTTTCCTTCAGTATAATGGTTTTTATAACTTGCTATAGGTAGTTAGCAATGACTTGTGGGATATGAAATTTCCAGAACTCCAAACGAATGGAAGGGGGAAAACACATTTTGATTTATAAGTATTTTTTTAAATCCTCTACAAGATGCTATGAATATTATTGCTCGCAGCAGTCAACAATTGTGGCAATCACTCTTGCCAGACATTATGTCATCTGCCAGGACCCTGTTCAGCTGTATCATGTATCAGGCCGTATTTTTCCTGTTGCTTCCATTCCCTTTGAATACTTACTTTAGACCTGTCATAATACCACAAGCTTCAAGCTTATCTGTCTACTAATATTAATCCAGCTCATTTCAAGGATCACCATGTCTCTGTAGAACTTTAGTCAAGTTGATCAAGGATATTATGGGCCCATAGGACAACTTTGCTCAGCACAACAACGTCTTTGGGCTGAACTTTCCACAACTTGGGTGCAGGCAGCTGTCGTCCATTTCGTGGGCTTTCTCAATGGCTGCCTGCTTTTTGGAATAACCTCCCCAAAGAATCCAGGAAGGCCCCCAACCAGATGACAAAAGACAACTATTCAAGAGGGCTTCAAGGGCTTTTTAAATGTTAAATGTTGTACTTTGTTTTAATTAATATTGTGTGTCACAACTCTCTTATCTGCCTTGGGGCCCAGTTGTTGGGGCAAAGGAAGATTTATAAATATTTTAAATAAATGAATAAAATACAAAGTTGATGGACCATTACAATGAGTGATATAATAACCCCACATAGTAGATCCGGGGCATTCAAATGTATCCAATTATACATTTTTATCCATATTATCATTTTTTTCCAAAGGGGAAAGAAAGTGACCATTGGATTTTCCATCTTAAAACTGTAGATAAAAGAAAACCAAAAGAGCAGTTCTGTGTTTCTCCTCACTTGAAAATAATTTTTATTCTAATATGGGCTCATGCTGCATTTAACCTCTTTTGCCATTTTCTTCCATGTTAATAGTTCTTGATTCCAATGTACAGTCCAAGTCAGAGCACATTATTTCATCCTCAAAAGAGAAATCAGACTAAACCAGACATTTCTATCCCAAATTTAATGCAAGTACTAACTACATTCAGCAAAATTTCAGGTCTCAAAATTAATGAATCGAAATCCCAACTAATGCCCATCTGTCTCCCAGAAGAGATCCAAGCTCACTTAAAACGTTCTTCCATGTTAATAGTTCTTGATTCCAATGTACAGTCCAAGTCAGAGCACATTATTTCATCCTCAAAAGAGAAATCAGACTAAACCAGACATTTCTATCCCAAATTTAATGCAAGTACTAACTACATTCAGCAAAATTTCAGGTCTCAAAATTAATGAATCGAAATCCCAACTAATGCCCATCTGTCTCCCAGAAGAGATCCAAGCTCACTTAAAACTAACTCTTTCATTTGAATGGGTCACTGATTATCTTGGGATCAAGCTAACGCATGATAGATCTAACTTACTTAAACACAATCATATCGAGGTACATAAGGAAATAGAACAACTAATAAATAAATGGGAAAAATTAAACCCCACATGGGCTGACAGATTTCATCTTATAAAATCTTTTCTCCTCCCGAAATATATCTTTTTATTTAGAGCGCTCCCTATAGACGTCTCAGGAATAAACCTAAACACATGGCAAAAGACTCTCAATAGATTTTTATGGGCCGGGAAAAAAGTCAAGATAGGGTTCACAACACTATGCAGGCCAAAAAACAGAGGAGGCTTTGGATACCCTAACATCAAAGAATACAGACAGGCAGTTTTATTAGCTAATATAATTAAAATTCTACGCAGACAACCCACTCAGGAATGGATCCAAATCTACTCAGACATGAGTTACCCAGTAATGATACCAGCTATGTTTTGGGAAAATACTCCTCTCCCAAGTACTTTAAAAGGGTCATACCTACTCCTGCGGCCTATGTTGGCTATATGGAAAAAAACATACAAAACACTTCTTCCACCGATATCCAGATTCAAACCTTTCATCTGTCAACCTTGGTTTAGAGACGCAACCTCACCAGCACATCTAGACATTTGGAAAAAGGCGAGGATGATTAGATACGGAGACATAACCTCCAAAAAAGGAATACTACCTAAAACAGCAATAGATCACAAACTGGGCAGTGTAGTACCATGGTTTCTATACTTACAACTTAAACATGCTACAGAACAGATGCATATGAAAGAGGTAATGGGACAACCGTGTACTGACTTTGAAATCACATTCCAGATGTTTGAATATTCAGATAAGGGACTGATATCTGCAGTTTATCATTTACTGAATACCGCTAATGCTCCGAAAATACTTCCTTACCAGAAGCTTTGGCAAAAAGACTGTGAGACTGAGCTTGATCAGAATTTTTGGAAAGAAGTATGGGAGACAAAAAATCCATATCCATGTTCTATTCCGTTAGAATTACAGGATTTTAAGATCTTAACAAGATGGTATCTGACCCCCCAACGTCTCTCACACATGCAACCAACAATTTCCCCCAAATGTTGGGGGAAATGTGATAAGTTAGGTACATTTGCCCACGCTTGGTGGGATTGCGAACGGATTGCAGAATTCTGGGAGGACATAAAACAAATGGTACACAAAATCATAGGTATTGAAATCCCACTGAAACCAATAGATAAACCTATAATGGATAAATGGAACCCTATACTAGAATTTTTAGCTTCAGAAGATTTCTTGCCCTCTTCCTGGCAGCAATTCCAGAGGTGGCTGTAAAGACTATTTCAACATGGAACACAACTCTATACTGCATGTTATATCCTACACTTCCTATACAAATAAGCAATACAGACACAATGCAATTTCATATTGGCAAATACATAGATGAATACTGTAGTTCTCAAGACATACCAGAGCGAATTAAATGTTTCTGAAATGTGAAAAGCACAAATGTAGTTTTTCAGATTTTTTATGTTACACAAAATTATTGGAATATTGTTATTATTATGGTACTTGACTTTTTTGTAACTTGTTTTATGATACAATAAAAAATTTTTTTTTAAAAGAGAGAAATCTAGTTGCAGTGGGCCACTCAAACTTTTATCTGATCTTCCTTGGATCCTTTATAAAGACCTCTCGGTGATCAAAAAAGCTGCAATGGACCATTTCATAAGTATATAATAGCAGTAAGTTTATCTTTCCTTGCCGCTGCCACCACCATGCAGTAGGCCTTCAAATGGGCTGTAGCCTGAAATCAGTCAGAATTATCCCAAGCCCTTATCCAGTTGCTTTGTCACTGTAGTAAAAACAACAATGAGCAATCATATCTACCGAGTCATCTCTAAATGCTAGAGAGTAATGAAAATACCAAGAGGAATCCCACCCACTGTGGCAGGGAACTCCATATGGAACCCATCCAAGGCCATTGATCTCCAAGAGCAGACCAGCCAAATTGGCCACCATCACCAACCTCTAGACTGAAGGAGGGGAAATATCAGAATTATGATCCATGTGACAGGCATTGCTGAACTTGTGTGTGTATGTATGTTTAACTCATGATAATGACAACAACGACAATGATGATATTATTGAGTACTGAGCCTCTGGTACATTCTGAGGAATTTACTTCCAAACCTACTGGGAACTACAGATCTCAGAATGCACTAGGCAGCACAGAAACTATGTGAAGGGAAGTAGGGTAATGAAGGGGGGTAGGAATATTCCCCCTTCTCAACTGCTGTTAGTACCACTGCATCACTTCCCAGTTGCAGAGCGGGGAAGTTGGGGGGCATGGTCTCATTGCAGTTACTTGGATCATTTTCAGTTAGCCTTTCTTTCTCTCAAAATGACTCAAGGGTAAAATAACCAAGCCATATCTATATATCTAATAGCCAAGTGGCCCCCGGAGTGCGGATCGCTAAATCAGCGCTCCGGGGGCACTTGGGGGGGAGGGGAAGGTTTGTGCACTCTTGGGGCAGTCCCCACGGGGGGAAAAAATCTAAAAACTAAAAAAAATATCGGGATGGCCCCCCGAAAGTGCAAGAGCGTTCTGTGCGCATGCATGCGCACGTAACGCTCTACGAACGCCAACGCCACTTGGAAGGCGAGCGGCGAGCGGGGGGGCTGACTGGCTCGGAGCCGGGGGGAGGGGGGAGCCACCACCACCGGGCGGGCAGTCACGGAGCAGGGCGGCGGGGGGGGGAACAGCGAGGCCCGGGCGGCTGAAGCCTCCCAAGGCCTCGCTACGGGGGGATTGGGAGAATTTTTCCAGGCATGTCATTTTGGTAATTTTTG